GTGGGAGGCGGCGGCGACGGGCTGGGGTTTCGCTCGGCCGCCGCGGCGCGAGCGAAAGAAGTCTCTGGACCTACGGCCCCTCCGATGGAATTAAACTAAATGATCTAGCTCAAATATATTGCTCGCCCGGCCTGTTTCGTTCGAAACATCCGATCCGACAAAAACCGATATCTTTAGGTGTTATTTTCTTTGCAGTGCTGCAGCTCCAACTTTGAAACATTTGTCGGTTTTATAGTTGCAGCCTTGGAAAAGTAAATACCAGTGCTACATACTGTACATCTCCCACACATTCCTGTTCTGTACATTCTGAATCTACCTTCAGGCTCTTGTGCTGTACTGTACATATACATATACATACATACACATACAGTTGTCTGCTACATCTAACAACAATGGAGGCCAGTCTATAACAAACCAGAGAGGCGGAGTCTATGCTCGTCGACATGATCCATGGATGGAGGATTCAATGGCTACCGCAGCCGGAGATGCTCCTCTGTCCTGCACACACATGTAAGAAGACTCAGAGACGGATCATTCGACGGCGACCAAGAGCATGAATTAATGGCATGGCAGCGAGCGATATGATGATGCGGCGGAACGGACGGCTCACGCACATGGGGAAGAAGAGGCAGACGAGCGTGAGCAGCAGCGCGAGGACGAGGCAGGCCATGCCGGTGACGAGGTAGGCGCGGCCGAGGAAGGCGTTGCGCCCGCCTAGCGGCCCGGCGGTGGACAGCACCACCGCCTTGCCCCCGTCGAAGCTGTACGTGTTGTAGCTGTTCCGCACCTCCACCGCCACCGTCTCGCCGGCGTCCAGGTCCGCCTCCACCCTCCCGTACAGCTTCCTGAACCGCGGCATCGCCGCCGTCCGCATCCACACCATCAGCTCCTCCTGCTCGCTCAGCTGCACGCCCCACGACCCTCCAGATCATCAGCATCATCGATCGATCGTCGTCGACATGAAAACAAAAGCTCGGTCGAGCTGAGCCTTACGGGCTTTCTCGGGTCGAGCCGCCCGCCGCCGACGAGGCTGCCGTTCTGGAAGTTCTTGGGGTACACGTGCTTGCCGAACAGCCGCTCCCGCTCGCTCCGCCACGAGATCCCGCTCTTGATCACCCTCAGCGCCTCGACGCCGCCGATGCCGCCAGCGCGACGGGGACGGCGGGCCAAGCTGTAGGTGTCGTTGAACAGGCTCCAGGCCACGAGGCCGCATGGCACCACGGGGATGCCTTTGCCGGCGTAGGCTTCAGGCTTGCAGTCCTTTATGTCGGCGTTCGCCTCCTCCTTGGGGTCGCTCAGCTGCGCGATGTTGAAGCTCGTCGCGTACCTGAATTCACCTCGAATTTGAATTCTGACACTTATATCTGGATTCTTACAAATTTTGAATTTGCATGAAATTTGTACCTTCTGTGGTTCTGGTAGAACCGGTCGAGCTGGTAGTATACGAAGATTGGCCTCTTCATAGCATTGGGGATCTACATGCAGTTCAAGGACACTCATTTCACCAAAGCCGTCTTCGTCGATTGAAGGCGTAAAATGGTTCACTTTTCTTTTCTCGGCAACGCTAATTAACGGGAATTGTTCTTTGTTTTCTTAATTACCTTGAGATTTATTGTGCATGTCTTGTTTATCGACGCGTTCTGGATGTAGCCCACTTTGTTGTGAAGCATGTTCTTCGGAACGCATTTCGTGTCGTATCGGTAAACCACTTCGAAGACCTGCCAGAAAGCAAATGTTGTTTCAAACTTGAATTCTATCGAAGGGAAAAGTTTCAAGTACATGTTTGTATAAATAACAACAGAAATTAAGCACAACTACAAGGATATACTCCCTCCGTTCCTAAATATTTGTCTTTTTAGAGATTTCAAATGGACCAGTACATACGGATGTATATAGACATATTTGAGTGTAGATTCACTCATTTTACTCCGTATGTAGTCACTTGTTTTAAATCTTTAAAAAGACAAATATTTAGAAACGGAGGGAATATATACCTTGTTTGAAGCCGCGTAGCAAGCAAGGCCAATCGGAATGAAAAGCAAGCCCACGAATACAAGAATGGGAATGACCTGCTTGTCCAAAGTTTGAATTTGTGAAACACGAGACATTTGAAAAAAAAAAGAGTGTGAAATGATGAGGCTTGGGCTAACAATTGGGGTCTCACCATATTGGGTGACAGTATAGGCTTGCACGCTGGGAGTTGTTGCTGAGTAAATGCATGATCTTCAGAATCAACAGAATGGTTGGAGATTAGTATGTACAGTACTTCTCATGAATCTTAACCACGAAAATGATCACCCATCGAGTAAATTACTCATTTTAATGAGGTAAATTGTTGATTTTATATTTTATATGAATAAATTACTTCAGGTTTCTTGTAGCTTTAGTAGTTAAGATTCACCTGATTCTGAGGAAAAGGAAGGTTCTTTTCAGTTTGCAGAGTATCAAATTACCAAAAAATGAATTACGTACAGATCATCTAACAGAACAGTTTAAGATTCAAAGCAGGCTAAAAGAAAAGAACAACTCAGGGATATACTAGTAGAATCAAGCAGCTACGGCTAACAAGAACAATCAAACCTTCTCCCAAAAGAAAACAACAAACCAAGCGTGAGAAAAACAAGAAAGAATCTGCCTCTGTGGGGAGAGAGAAATTACACCGAGGCCTGTTGCGTTTCACCGCTGCGGTGGCCGCCGGCGGGCCGTCCCTGCCGCTGCCGTAGCTCGGTCCGGCGGCGGCGCCACCGTTCGCCGGCGGCATCACAGTACCCTCCCTGAGAAAGAGCACTCCTCCTCCGATGACGACGAACTCCTGGCCTACAGCTGCTTCAAGAAGTGTGCAATGGAGAAGAGACAGGCGAGGGGTTTGGTGCCCCGAACGTCAGAAGGAATTAAACAAGAAATGATGGCGATGTGGGAAAGGATCGGCGAGGTTTAGGAGTAGAGGGGAAGCAAGCAAGGAGGCTAGAGAGGGAGAGACAAGCTGTCCCTGTAAACCACCGGAAAGGCAAGCATCACCTACCTGAACCTACCCGGAGGTCTGCGTCAACCAACTCTCCCTCGGAGAAGAAGTCTCGGGTCACCTGCTCCGGATGGATGGCTTTGGAGTTTGGATCAATATATTCTGTCTTTATCCACTAATATTATCTGTCTGCATTCACTAATACGCCGGCCTGTTGGGTGTTCTTGGCTGCAATTGGCATCGCTAAACAATCGGTCGATAATAATAATAATAATAATAATACGGCCGGAGTGTGCGTCAACGATGATGGATGCAGAGGCCGGGGCGGGGCTGGTTGATCGTCCTTTTTTTAGCTAGGCGCTTTGCTTCTCTGACTTGGGTTCGTTTTTTGGCGATGTGTTTCGGCAGCAATGCCTGTGGAGCCTGTGGAAGAAGGAACTGGGAAGGGAGGGGAAGCATTGGATAATCCGGAGTCGAGAACCAGGTGTCCAACAACACCTAATTAATCAGTCGGATACAGCCAGCAATATCTGTACAAGGGCTACACGCACAGCTGCATTTTGTTCTTGTTCCATGTGTGTTTTGTCTGTGGGTCTCTTATGGGCTGAGTAAGCCAGGAAGCGCCACAATGCGTGAGCGGCATTTTTTATTCCTCGCTTTTGACTTTTGTGATGATGATCGTCATCAATTATGCAGACCAGCAGACGGTTGGCGTGCTTATGTCGTGATTGTTACTCAATGCTTATGTGTTGTGCATATAATAGATGGAGAAGGTCAAGTCCGGCAAAGCAATCTGGGATGATACGTGCGGCTCATTCCGTTTATCTACAGTAGGTGCGTGCATAGAAGTAGGGGCAACTATTCATCTCGGCGCGACCCCACTTGGATATGCCAAATTTTTTTAACTATAAATAAAGTTCAATCGACACATAAAGATGAACTGTCGACGTTTGAAATTGAAAAGAAAAAAAAACATGTTTGATGCATTAGCCGCAACTGCATTATTAGTACAACACAACGGTTTTGGTAAAACCACAAACACAGCTGAATCGAAATATATCTTTCAAAAAACAATGGCAATGGCATGCCCGCATGGTAGAACCACACAAGAGGTCTTGCGCTGTACAAAGGCCCATGTAAAGCAACCCAAGTTTCTTCTATGCATGAAGAGACACTTCTCTCAGTTTCAAACACCGGACAAATACAGAGACTGCATAACCAAATACACCAAAAAAATCTAGAATCCATAGCATCATATAGACATGGTCATCGGGAGAATCTTCTGAGACGCCGGCTGCGGCTTGATCTCCCATGAAGCCTTCTCGACCGACTCTTGAGGGAGAATGAAAGGCAGCGAGATCTCCTTGATCATCAGGTCGCCGCAGAAGGGGCACTCGCTCGCCACGGCGTCGTCCAGCTGTGACCTCAGCTGTTAAAAGAATCAATCACAATGGCATCATCAGCATAAGAACTGCAGGCTGCAGTGTATTATCAGAGTGTGAGCATCACCCGACCTTGTCGACTGTTGGCGCGCTACTGGCAATAGATTCACCGTTCCCGGTCCCGCCGTTGTCTTTTGCTGCTTTCCTGTCCATCAAGCTCAGCTGCTTCTGAAGGTTCAGTATTCTCTCAGCCTACAAGAAGGATGAACGAACAGTTGAACATCCACTGAACTTAAGCCTGGTCTCTACTACCGAGAAATGGAACAGACGGTTGAAATTGTGCAGAGAGACTTACTTGCACTTGGCTGGTGCAGCGAGTTACATGGGCAATCAAACAATTCGCGTGGAAGGCGTGTCCGCAGGGAAACACATAGAAGGGGGCCATGTGTCCAACAGACGTATAGCTTCTCCCTACCTGGTGCAATCCTCCCACGGTCAATATTTTGCGCCGGCATACCTGTTAGTTCAGGACAATGAATTAGCACCATGTCAGATATAACAATAAGTACATACAATTCATATGACGGTGAACCGTCTACCCTAAAACAGGAAAGAACGTGGATGCACTTGAGGGCACAAGCTGCACTAACAAGACAGATATAAAGCCTGTATTGTGGGTCATCTTTTTTCTGAAACTTTGAATTTTACATGCTGCAGAGGGATGGAAACTAATGACTTATTATCACATAAAAACTGCAACAGGCACACAAGTCAGTAAATCTAATATACCAAAGAGACCTCGCAGGGATCATTCTCTTACCCCACATTCCTCCTCGCGATCAATCACTGTAAATCTCTGAGCAAGGGCACCAATATCACTTCTTATGTTGTCTGCTCCACGCGTAGCATCATCCATCTCAGCCTTCAGTTGCTCAATCTGGCTATTATAGTCCTTGAGAGATTTGCAGATTTCTTCCTGTTTGAAACATGCTTTCATTGTTATTGCCACACAAAAGGGCATGGAATAATTAAAACTGAAAAGTGGAACAGTAACTGCAAACTAGGGCAACGTGAATTCATGAGCCTTTAAGACGAAATGAACATTAGAAGGTCGTTTTATATGTACAAAGTAGATCGGACTGCATGAGCTTTCATAAATCTTACTTTAAAGTCATCAATCAATACGAAGTCTGGGAAAAATGGCAAGATATCCTCAATCTTCAGCAAGTTGTTAGTTTCTGATAGAAATTCTATAGCTTTCTTTATGTTCTCCCTCTTGACTCCTTTCTCTTGCTCGATGACATGCTTTGCAACCTTAAGCCACAGCTTCTTCCTAAGCTCTTCATCATCTTCAACTTTGTCTGCTTCTGCCTTTGCAAGCTCCAAGTCCACCTAACGAGGACCAATAAAGTACAGCAATTAGGGAACCTCAGGAAATGAGAGCACAAAAGTCATCAATATGTAAAGGCACAACAGATGCTTCTCAGACAAAACATAGTGAAATTTACCCTCAAAGCAAGTGCCACAGCTTCCTCATGCATGGACATCATGCTGTAAATACGAACACAAGCACGCATCCTCCTTGCTTGGAGACATAGACGCAGAGCATACTGGGGTTCGTAAAAGAACTCAGGTCCATTTGCTTGTCCACTACCAAACTTGGTGTCGAGAAATTGTAAAAGCTGGGACTCGTCCTCCTGCAGACGGGACAGAACAGAGTATAGAAAAACATATAACATCAGTTCGTATGTGCAGCAAATATTAACTTATGGCACTCACAAGTTACAACCTGGTAAACGAATGCAGGAAAGATGAATAATGACATGAGCACAATGCAACAGTAATTGGCATTGCTGTTATGCATGGGGATAAATTCAATGCTTTCAACAGAAATAAGACAAATATCGTTATAAAATTACTCGTCATTTCCTTTCAGTTTGTAAGAACGGCAAGACAATGTACCTTCTTGGCATACAGCACACATGAGCAACAAATGTATGCACTATGGCAAGAAAATATACCTTCTTGGAATACAATGAGAGCAACAAATTGTGGACTCCAGGATCCTCATTGTTCAAATCTTTGACACAAAATTCCAAGTACTTAATGACCTCATGAGTTTCATTCCTGCAAGAATTGCCAACATGTTTACATTCATATATCATCTAAACAACAGAACAAATTAGCTGCTCATGATTGTAGGTTGCTCCAGATCTTTGAGAACAAAGGTACTAAAATACTTTTAATAGTTCGATTCAAAGTTTTTCCATCTAAGTTTTATTTCAAAAAAAGTTTTCCATCTGAGTAGGATTGAAGTCCAATATAGCTGCAGATTTGAAATTAACATTTCAATATAACAGATCTATTTTTACTAATAACAGAAGTATAAGCTACTCCTGTTAGATGATATATTGGACTTAAATAAACGTGTCTAGATACATCCGTATCTAGACAAATCTAAGACTAGTAGTATGGATCGGAGGGAGTAGTAAGGCTGTTCCTACATCAAGACCATAGTATTCTACTAGAAGAAAATGGTAGTAGATAATAAGCTGTTTGCATATCATACTTGGCATGTGGTTCGCTCACATAACGCATCATTGCTGGTATAAGCTTCCCTGGATTCAACTTGTTTCTTGCCATCATCCATGATTCGACGGTCTCGTAAGCATCTAACATGATTAAATCTGGGACAAATTTATACTGCAAGAACACAAAGTTGTAGGTGAAAATCTCACTTCACTTAACAAATTTAGCTGCTCAATAACCGATATAAGTAAAAAAAAAAAGGTAACTTGCATGCGGTAAACAAAACACCATTTTTTTGAGTACTAGAGAAGTACCACAAGGTCTTCTGGAACATTATGTCGTTGAAGCACTTCCAAGGCTTTCCTTGCTTCTCCTTGCTGAACCAGTAACCGGCAGGAAATTAGCACCGATGCCTCAGCAAAGGTCAATGGGTACGCAGAAGAATGATCCATATAAATAAAATTTGTGTATTATTATATGATTTTTACAGAGAATACGGTGCATCAAAGTGAAGCAATGGGTTCAACAGAACATGTGGAACAAAGTCCAGTGCAGCAATACTTCATAAAGCACTTGTGATGAGACAAACGTAAAAGATTAAAGTCTGGAGACATTTATAGAACGATGTATCATGTGGAATAACTATTCCCTCTATTATTTTTACACATATACGAATTTATTCAAAAATTAAAGTTGTTCAAGAAAAATAGAGAGAAGGGAATTTAGTGGTAGACATTTATAGTAAGGACACAAGATTGACCTAGCTTGTTATTATTAAGATGAAAGTCTGGAGACATTTATAGATCAATGTATCATGTCGAATGACTATTCCTCTATTACTTTACACATATAAGAATTTACTAACAAAATGAAGTTGTTCAAGAAAAA